TATCACCCACAAAAAAAAAGAAAAAAATTTTTTAAAAAAAAAAAAAAAAAAAAAAAAAAAAAAAGCCATGAGTGCAATGCATCAGAATCCTTGGGTTACAGAATGTTTTCTCACAGGCGTAGGAATATATTAGAAGATTGTTTCATTACAACATCCCTCTAGTATGGTAAAACAAGGCACAGCACTACAAGTAATGGTGCATATACCCAATAACATGTGCGCCAAACAAAAAACTCCTTTCAACACAACACCAAAAACAACCTGCTTTTCACTCACTTCCCAAAACCAAGTTCATGCACAGTGTTCATTGCATTACGACTGCGCACTCCTGAGCGGCAATAAAATACAATGTTATCATCTTCTGGCTCTGGTTGCTCAGCCTTGTATAAAGCTTCAAATTTATGGGGAGGCATCTCAAAAGCAGCCTTAATTTCTCCCACTGAAGTTGAAAAATGCAGATAAAAGAGAAAAGCTCTAGGAGATACATGTAATTAATTCAAAGAAAAAGACATAAAGTAGGGTACAGTGTACTAAGCTATCAAGATAAGAGTCTCTCTCTCTCTCTCTCTCTCTCTCTCACACACACACACACACACACACACACACACACACACACACACATATCAACATACAGTATAAGACTGTGATAGCTAAAACAACATCAACATGTTTTAACACTTTTCTGAAATAGAACAAACTCATTTCAGATGCACTTACAAATTAAACAATATCAAATCAAGGTTCAGAGTCAAAAAGGGAAAAAAATCGATAGAGCCAAAGCTGAATACATATAAGCAAAATGAATATCTAAAATACAGAATGGCATTTTACACAATGGAGGCACCATGCTAGCTGGCAAAGGCACTCTATAACTAAGGCCATTTATAAGTCATTCACCAAGCAGGTACTAATTTATTAAACACATTAGTTTTAAGCTTTTGTTTTATTGGCATTTGTAGTGAAGCTATAATGCTGATTCACCCTGAGGAATGTGCTCTTAATAGACATTGAAGTATTGAAAGTATATTGGAATAGATGCACTAGTTCATCATTTTCAATATAAGCTATTGATCGACTAAAGAAAATTACTGCTTCAATTTTTTAGCACATGACACAGTTGATGAAATTCTTCTCTTACATTGCAGACTGAATAGTGCAATAATAAAGCGTGAATAAATAAATTTTTTCTTTAATCAACAGCTTATTATTGAAATTAATTAATTCACCTCCAATATTTCTGGCAAAGATGCTCTGTCAGACATTGAAATATTGGAAGTAAATTATTTCAATATGAAGCTGCTGATTGAAGAAAAAACTAATCTTATGACAAAACACAGCTGATGAAATTCCTTCTCTGACAATAATTAACTGTGTACTCACAGGGCAAGTTTATGGCCTGGGGAATCATTCCAGTGGCTTCCACCTCCCAAGGATTCCGGACATCAAACAGCTGTATATTACCACTCTCTAGTAACACACACAGGGCCTCATAGTCCAGGTCTGTCCATGGGAGCTCTTTATTATCTGTACAAAAACCTATGAAAAGGAACATTAAAAAAATCATGTTACAATGACATTACTTTGCCCTTGCCCCAAGCAGTATCTCCCTCAATGACCTTGAAAGTTTGGTTTATATATCTTTCGGCCATATTCTCAACTATTCCAGAATTTTTTGTCAATTTTAGTCCACTTTCATCAACATTGTATCGAAGTGTGTAAAAGCAACACTGCTGTGCTTTATTTTTAACAGGCTTTCAGGCATATCCCACCTTTAAAAAATCACGTTTAAATAAAACATATGGACTGAAATAATGCAACGTTAAACAAGACAGTGTACACATGATCAGTTTGTTAATGCGCGTTTACCTCTTTTAAATGACGAAAACTCCGTGGAGACGCAAGGAGTATTGGACGGTGCGCTTTTGTTTATAAACCCAGACAAGTAAGAAACTGAGCCCAAATTTCGAGATATTGCTCTTCCAAAAAGTGATCTACAAGCTTGGATGTTTTTAGGAATAATGAAACGCCTTAATGTAGACATCGTTACTGTCACTTGCAGTCGCTGCGTCTTGGTGTGACAACCTTAAAGAAAACTACAAGCTAAATATTATCAGCAGTGGCAATAATTGACTTCCAAACAAACATAACGTGAACACCTGGGTCATGGTCAGGACAGTCACGCACTGACTGGATCACGTTTTCCCCATTTGTCAAAATTGTACTTGATTTGTTCCGCAAATAAATTTTGTAATTCTGACGGGTATTTATCTCTCCCACAAACCCCAAAATCTATCGCCACTTCTTACCATATTAGTAAATTTTTTATTTGAAAATAATTTTATGTACGTTAAACCAACAGTCTGCCTTTCTTTCTTCAAAAAATATTCCTTTTCGTTCTTAGGAACAAGTCACAAAAGGACATTCGAGAGGATTGCGCGAATTATGAAACTGACACTTTTGTTTATTGAACTTATTTCTAGGCTAAGGCGAATCCATATCGACCTAGACCTCGAAAAAAGGCACATTTGAAGGGGATACCAAACCAGGACGTTTTCGACCATATGAAAATGTGGCGTTTTCTTACAAATTTTTGTTTAAAATTTATACACAGCAAATATACACTGTACCACTACCAGTAGTTCAAGTTGTATTTTGTTTCAGGAAGGGGTAGAGAGGGGGAGTGGTCTAGAAAAAAATTGCACAAATATTCTCAGTTCAATGAATTACAGTGCAAATACCATTTAGTGTTACTTTATTATTACTGATGTATTCTGTTTACTGAAAGTTAGCATTACATCTGTATGGTCAGCAGGTGCTTTAAGGTTCAAACCCTGCAGTAGTGACAATGCAATGCACTGATCACCTTGTTAAATTAAGGCCTATGAAACTGATTTAATGCATATTTTCTGGATATAGCAGCATTTTTTTTTTTTGGATTTTCCCCATGGGCATTAATTTTGGGTTACCCAATGGATGTCACCATAAAAATAAATCAATATGGTCTAATGTTAATTTTTAAATATCCATTCATGATTGCATGTTAGTGGAATTATCATATAATGTATATATACATGTATGTTATTAAACACCAAGTTATTTACATTACATAGGCACCAGTATATACCGGTATTTGTTTTATATTAGCCACTATTTCTCTATCCAGATGTCTGCTGCAGCCACCCAGTTTGTTCTGTATAGCAATGATGCAGTGGAAGTGATGTACACAGATGGCTGTAAGCTCCAGATGTCTCCCTGTGGAAGTGCCTTTGTACATGATCAACCACCTGGCCATGGGCAACATACACTGCATGGTGAGAGTAATGACATACAGATAGGGGGCAGTAGCAATAGTCCGAAGGTTCAGTAGTCCGAATGTTCATTGGTCCGAAAGTTCACTATAAAACCTTCGGACCAATGAACCCTTGATTAAAAAAACGATGAAAATGTTCCCATGATTTTCGGACCAATGAACCTTTGGACTATTGAGACACCCCCAACTACTAGTATGAAAAGTCAGCATCACATGAATTAATCAGTAACAGTCACCTCTGGTACATATTTTTGGTAAATGACCTCAAAATATCTTTATATAATTTATATCACACTGACTTTGGTGTTTTTTTTTT